CAACTAACAACTTTTTTCAGTTCTACTGATAGTGTTGCTTAGTGCTCATCAGTTGCCTGTTCAATCTTACTGGGGTGGTGCATTACAACTTCAGAGTTACATTTTTGATCATAATTTGTCTTTCTGCATTTGTGCCTGTTCTCTCCGTGATTTGTTCTACTGCGTGTCCTTCTTGTGTTGCAAGTTGGGCAGGATTGACCTCCTGCAGTTCAACCAAAACAGCAGAAATGCCAGCCACAGATGATACCTCTGATTCAATTCCAGCTTGTTTTTCTAGGGAAATTCACATGAGATGCTTTATTTCTGCAAAATGAGTATTACTCTGTTTCTTCCTATTCTCGTGGCCCTGAAGCAGTGCAGGAGATCACCTCCAGATCCAGAGTCATCCCAAGAGCAGGACATTTATACGCAGATAAATACTTGACAGTACTCCGGCACTGACCTTAGAAGCTTTTGGAAATGTGATGCATGTATTGAACTGCTGGCAGAATTCAGAATTCCTGTGAGGGATGTATGATGTCAAAGGCATGCAAACCAAGTTGAGATGCTCTGCATGCAGGAAATGGGACAGCCCCTTTTTTTCTTGTCTCAATCCTAGCTGTTCTACTGTAGCTCCTGCCTGACTTCCTCCTTCACTAAAAGTCCTTGTGATGTTTGTAACCTTTGTGGGCTTGTTTTCCTTCTCTGTGTCTGCAGTATTAATGAGTTCACTGGTACCATCTTAAAACAGCATTCTCCATCAACTAAATCTACAAAGTGATAGAAGGACGCTAGTGCTTCATTATCATAGTGTGTGAAAAGCATTCAGTAATCTCCTCCTGTTCATAAAAAGATCACAGAATTCTTAGAGTTGGAAGGGACCTTTACAGGTCATCTCCTCTAACTCCCCTGCAATGAACAGGGACAACACTGCTAGGTCAGGTTTCCCAGGGATCCAGCCTTGCCTTGAAAGCCTCCAGGCCTTGTCTTCTCTGTGCTGAACAGCCCCAGCTCTCAGCCTGTCCTTGTAGGAGAGGTGTTCCATCCCTGGAATGGACGCTCCTTCCAGAAGGATCTGCTCCATGATCTTTCCTGGCACAGACGTGAGACTGACAGGTCAATAGTTCCCAGAGTCATCCTTTTTACCCTTCTTAAAAATGCATGTGATGTTGCCTATTTTCCAGTCACCAATGCCCCACAAGTACTTGTTGCCTCATCTATTTACTGAGTGAATGTTGGGCTGTGCCTTACAAAGTAATAGGAATTAGAGACTTATCAATTAAAAAATTTTGTTGGGTTACCATAATATTTTGCACTGACACTGGGCATGGGGTGGCAGAGGTGCAGGCAGGGAAGAGAGGCTGAAATCACTTCCTTTGGTGTGAGCCTGGTCTGGGAACGTCTGTGCTTAGTTTGGTGGGAAGCCGTCCTTCCAGAGGAGCCTAAGGACATTGTTATTACAGAGCAATTAAACTAGCAGAGTTTAATTGCATACATACTTTTACTTTAAGGCCGTAAGAAATACATAGTATGCTAGAAAGCAGGAAAAACATTTACATAATGTATTTAACAGCACATGCAGTTAATTCAAGATTTAATATTGTGCTGGAGAAAAAAAACCCCTATGTAAGCACGCATTTGAAAAATAACTCGTGATGCAACTCTGGAGAGGATTTTTTTAATAATGTACAGATACGATTTCTTCATCTTCAGGTTGGAAGAATGGTTGTTCTGTTGTGGGCTGGCTATCTGAGTATGGATTCCCACACACTCTGATTTCATACCATATATGTGACGTATGGCCACCTGCGGTCCTTCTCATTCCCTTTCGTTTCCCAGCTGTGTGGGCAGGTGTTGGGGTTTTTGGCTTCTGATCTACACCCCTCTCTGTGGTCTGTTTTAGAATATACCCTTCACCAGAGACTGTTCCATCCAGCATCAATGTGATCTACATTCTTGCACCTGGTCTTCTTATTGTCCTGCTTTCGTGGAGTTATTTTCTGATTAAGATGTGGGGACAAATTGAAAGACAATTAGTAGTAAAAGGTGGAAAATTACATATTTTAAATGTAATCTACCAGAGGCTGTATCTGCTGTTCCTACTTAGGGCAGCTGAAGGAGACTGAACATTGAGAGATTTTGAGTAATGTTTTGTACCCTTTTGCATGAAAATATCAGAATTCATTGTTGAGATAGTCAGCACACAGTTCTGCATGAAGATGTGCAGTGCTCCTATAAGAACCTGCTTCTAGATTCTTGTGTTTGTCTTTTTTTGTTTCTTTTGTGATACTTCCATATTCTTTATTGGCAGGGGAACAAGGACTCACGTAGTCAGCCTGTGTAAAACTTGCTGTGTAGTGTCATGCAGCTCGGTTCAGACCGAGCAGTTTATCCCAATAACTTGTTGGATTTAAAGCACTTCTTTTCCAGTAGGAGTTCTTTCACACTCATTTAGTTCTGCCAGACTGTTTAACAGCTTTGATGGGGAAAATACACCAGCCATTTTCTTGAAATAGTTGTCTCTGTTTGAATTTACCTGACCATTCAAAGGATGTATTGAGTGGTACCATTACACCATTCATTTCTTTAATATGTAGTTTGAGTTAAGTTTTCTGGTAGCAGGGATGAGGTTAGTGTCATATCAGTCCTCTGTTGCAACACCCACCTGTTTATTAGCAGCAGTAAGAGTTTTGATCTAGCTGTACTACGCTTACCCAGTTCTGTTTATCAAGTAACTTGAATAAAATAAACTAAGTCTTTATTTTTGGTGCAGTAACTGGAAACCTGGCTGGTCACTGCTGGGTGATGTCTTATTAGATTACAATTGTTAGCAAACGATATTCCTGGAAGCTTGTGGGAGGAACAGCAGACAGATTTGAGTTCTGGCTGGTGGGGTACTGGAATTCTGTGCAGATCTGTAAACTGTATTAACCTGATATAATTCAGTAATTTTGTCAGGTTTGGGTTTATAATGTGTTAACAGGAAAGTAGCCTTGCCTGGGAATGGTCTGTGAACACTGTACTGGTTTGAGCAAGTTCTGCAGTTACAGAAAGCAGCTGATGTGAAACTGGATGGGTATCTTCTGAAAGCAACTGAGACGCTTCCACCACGAGGCAGAGCAGCTGTCAAAAATGTGCTTGTGCAAATGTGGTTATCTTTATTTTTGGACTAACCAGCATTTTGTCTTCACAGCAGCTATACTTCTGAATGGAAGTGGCTTGCAGACAGAGCTAGAATTGGCAGCCGTTGGACATGGCTTCAAGCCCAGATTTCAGAACTAGAATACAAAATCCAACAACTAACTGACCTTCACAGGCAGATACGTGCCACCAAGGTATTGTCTGTTAGCTCATAAATGGGCTTTTTGATTATTTTTTTGTAATAGTGTTTCTTGTAATGTTTATTTCTTTGATTCCTCATTGTTGTTGTTTGTTTTGCCCTGGAATTCTTGTATATAAGCAGACTATTGCACACAGAGGTTGATAGGAAAGACATCAAAAGGTAAAAAGTATTGTACCCTTGAGGCATCAACACAGGACTGAGAGTCAGGGACTCTTAACTTCCTATCTGTAGTAGTTGGGGACTTTGTTAGTGACTTTCAGGGCCCTGGAACAAGCCATGTCATTTATCCCACTATTTTTTTCCTCTATGGAAGAAGATTTGTTTTTTGGGAGGGGTGTTTGGCTATTCATTTTTGCATCGTGGGCGTCTGGGGGCTTTTTCTGTTATTTACAGTGCATGCTTATTCTAAGGATTAGTTAGTTAATGTTTGTACAGCACTTTGAACAGGTCAAGGATTAATTATTACTAAAATTCCAACGTGTATAACTCATGTGCTAGCTTTTGTAAATCAAACTGGCTAGACAGTGGTAAAGTCACATTCCTGAAACATTAATAATCTATCTATCTATCAATGTAATGGCTTGTTCAGGTTGGTCTCACACACAAGAAGCCAAAACTTGTGATAATTCTGGTGGTGTGATAGTAACAGGTTGTAGAGTAGGGCTTCTGGACTCATCATTAGTGAGCCACATAAAAGTTGTGTGATCTATGCTATGGTCAGATAAGCCCAGATAGAGAGGAGCAGGGAGATGCTTTAGGTTTTATGTGACTGAACATGAGATTTTGAGGGAGGAAAGGAAGAGAAAGGAGGGAAATCATGAAATCATGCTAGAGAGGAAAGGAAGAGAAAGAAAGGAAATCGTGCTAGAGAGCATTTCCTTCTGATCACATAAAGGATTATTATTTCCTCTCTATTTATAGCTCTCAAAATCCATCTTCACATATCCAACTTTGTCTCCACGGTCACATTTTTCCTTAAGAAAGAAAATATTTGAAGAACCTCTATTTGAGGGTCTTTCCTGCCTTTCTGCCCATAGAGGCAAAAGGAGATTTTGTACTTTGCTGAACGGTGAGAATATCCATATTGTAATAATGTCCAGAATACCAAATACTCACACTCCAATATGCCCAGAATCAGACTTTAAGATGGCATGGGTCCCAAGGGCTGCAGAACAGTGAGAAATAAATAACAGAGAAACGAGAGAGCATTCTTTCAGTCATGCATTTTCTTCGCATTAGGTGGCACGTTGGCTCAGAGCCTAGCCTTCTTCCTGCTGGAGATCTTTAGTAGCATTCCTTTTTGCAAACTTCATGCCCCTTTTACCAGCTGTGCTGTTAGGTATTTGGCATTGTGTCTCATACAGAAGGTAGACAAACACTCTTTGGCTCTGATTTTTTTTTTTTCTTCCTTTTTTTTTTTTTCACATGTTCATAGCATGCTGGTGCAGCAGTTATGGAAGGTCATGTGGACTGACAGAAGAGCTCTTTGTTTTGATTTAGTGGCTACAGAGTAGTTACACAATATCATTGGAGTTTGCATGCTGCTTAATAGTTTTAAAGTGTCTTCTTTGTGTTTTGAGTGGGAAAAAATGTGATTCATAGCCAGTCAACAATAACTCAAGCAGAGTATCACTCCTCTAACAGCAGAACACAATAGGAAGGGAGATAGTTAACTTACCAGGTTTCCTGGCCTTCTCTGTTGTGTCTGCTGCATCCTTGTATGCGTAGAAGTAGTGGCTCTGGAGCTCTGAGTCCATCCGTTTAGAAAATCTGCCAAATAAAACAATAAGATTTAGTTGGGAGTTGGTTGCCAAAACCTACTGGTTGTGACCAGTGTTAGAATTCCTTTATAGCCAGCGTTAGACTCCTAATCCTTTCCTGTTCCTCATTTATCTTTTCTTATGTACCTATTTCTGTCTACTCCTTTTCATACTGTTCTTCAATTTACTTTTCTGCTTTCTGCTTTCCATGCTTGTCACTGGGATTTTGCAGCTTTAAAAAAACAAAATTCCAGTGGAAATAGCTGTGGGGGGTTCTCTCTTTGAGTTTCCTGTGTGCTTCCTCTCATATCAGAGTTTGTGTTTCAGACTGCTGTGGGTTATTTTTTCCCTCTTTCCATGCTGACCTGTGATTTATTGTTTGTTTATTTATTTTGCTGTCTTTTGTTCTAAAGCTATTGGGCTACTTTGTCCTGTGGCTCATTAAAATTAAGGCTATCCTTGAACTTCCTTGAGCGTAACTGCTGTGGTCTGCAGATTACAGTATGATACTGTCTGCGTTTGCTTCCATCTGCCAGAAATCGAAAAGCACAGATGGTGGGCTACTGCCTAACAGTGAATGTGGAAAATCTCATGTTGACCTGACGGAAATCCAGAATCTCCATGGGTGTTTTGAGCTTGGATACAAGTTTTTAAGCACCTGGGTTTGCTTTTAGAGTATATTTATTGTCAGCTTTGAATCGAAACAGAGGAATAAGTTAGAGATGCAAGGATAGCAGGTCCACTTTACATTTTCTCCTAGTCTCTTCTTTGAAGCCTCTTTCAACATTGCTTTTGATTTGGAGCAAGTTGTTGCTGAGGTAGGAGTGCAAGGTGTGAGTAAAACTGCAGGAGCTTTAATGTTCAACAAACGTGTCCCAGGTGAAGTCTGTCCTTCTAAAAGAAATGGTGTGTTCATGTAATGATGGTCTTCCCCTGCCTTTTGATGGAATGGTCTCACCAGAAGGACAGATTGGAAGCAGAATAATGGAGGGAGCCCAATCTCTTTGGGTAATGCCTGCAGAGGCAGCATAGCTGTTTCTACGTATTGGAATTATTCCTCAAGACAGTAACAAAGCAGGGGGCTGCCAGAGGAACTGTTGTTGGCTGTTTCAGAGTTCTTTTTGCTTACTGTTCATGTTTTAAGTTTGCTGAAGCAAACCAACAGAGATGTTACCTGGGAATATGTCTGACACTTGGAATTTTCTTATCTGTCATGTGAAAAGCACAGTGGCATTATTCTTTTCCCAGTTCAGTTCCTGAAACTTTTGGTTCCCTACCAAATAAAGTTGCAGCTGTCTTACTGGGCAGATGATAAGTTGTGTCTCCCATTGGATTTGTGCAGATTGCCTGCAAAAGTGATGAGATTGCTAGAACATTTAGGATCACTGCCTCTGTAATTCCAAAGCTCTAAAAATGCTCACCTTAAAAATCAATTATTAAAGTATGAAAGGCTTTTGTTTTGGTTTGTGTCCTTCTCTTGAAACCTTAATGTTTGTTTAGAGCATGGATAAGAATAAGAAAAAAAAGAACACTTTAAAATGCTTCAGAGAAATGTATTGGATGCAAAAAGTATAATCAACTTCAAAGAGTGGTTGTTTTTGCAGAAGAACCTCTTCTTAAAACAGCAGGCAAACGAGCATGTAGTTTTAATAAGTATGAATTTCTGATTTGAATTTTGGCACAGATGTTTAAGCGGTGGTATAACACTGTAGTGTGGTTGCTGTTATAGGGAGTAGCATGAATGATGCAGTTTTTCATTAATAAAAATACTGACTCTTTCTGTATTTGAGCTGTTGAGTGTATCTAAAACCTAGTCCAAGTGCTCCAGAGTAGCTGGGAAGATTTGAGGGGGAGGTGCCAGGTTCAGCCACCCCTTAAACATGGTTTAGGAGGGTTAATTCGTTGTCAACCAACTGTGTTCAATTGCTGTTGTCTAGGGGATGGTGATCTTAGAAGAATTCCCATTTCCAAAAGACATTTTGAAGAAGCAAATACAGTTGACAGACCAAGAAGCTTTATTAAACGCCACAGGGAATTCGCAAGCTGCCATTGAGAGACAGGATTCTTTGCCGGAGCATGACTTTGAAATGTCACCCAGCAGCCCTACCCTGCTTTTACGAAACATAGAGAAACAGGTAAAGTAAAATGAGAACTCAACAGTCGATGGAGCTGAATGATTGACTGCAGGAACAGGGCAGGTTCCAAGGTGATGCTTCTGAAAAAGAAGCTACTTTGCACTCCTGAGAGTGGGTGCTGTTGCATTCAAGGGTTTAAATAAATACGTTGTACACCAGGTTTACAAATTAATCTGTTACTCCTGATGTGTCTGTGTTACCACTTGGTTTCCATCAAAGCGGCCACGTAACCACTTCTAATAGCTACCCCCAAACCTGCCTCTTCATTATGTTTAGGTTTAGGGTAGGGTTGCCACAGATTGTTTCAGGAAATACTTCTGTGAGATGAAAGACTGAAGCTGAGGATGGAGGTATGTAGAAAAGCTCCAACTGGGTGTCATTGTTGGTCTGGCTTTTCGAGCATCGTAGCAATCCAGTGAGGAGCTGAGGAATTGCAAGTATTTCATAGGCAGAGTGTAGGTGTAGAGAGGAGTTTCGGTTCATGCTGCTCCACTTATTTCCAAGGTTAATTCCAGGAAATACAATGTAGACTCCAGCAAGGTTTCATATTGCAGGGTCACATTGCAAGGAGATACAGGAACACTGTTTCCTGAATTAATTTCTGCAGTTAGTGTAAAGCAAATCTAACAAAAGCTATTAACTAAAGTATTAATATGTTGCTCTGCCACAGTAAATTCTTGCTCATGTGCATGTTGTTTAAATGGAGTAAGAGTGGCTTTAGTTACCATTCCTGTTCCTGAATCTCTGTGCCAATTTTTCTTATTTGATAGTCATACTTTCCTGTTCTTAAAGTGCTTCCCCTGTTTGATGGATTTCAGCCACAACAGACAGGAGTGAGGAAGCAATGAAACAGGAAATTTACATGCACAGTGCTGGCAATTGCACAAGGTAAACCAAGAGCATTTTTAGAATGTGGTGAATGCCCCCTCCTAAGTAACTACTTGGAGAATTAAACACACTTTTCTTCTCGTAAAACATTGACTAATTAAGTACTAGCAGTGCGTTTACTGGTACCCAAGTAGTTACAGAGCTCCAAGAAATGTGATGGTCTGAAAATGACTTGCAGGTGTTCTTCTTACAGTGCATCTCTGGGTTCACACGGATTTCTTCCTTTTGTACTGCACTAAGCTTTGGGATTTGATCTGCTGGGGTTTTTGATGATTAGTTCTGTAAGTTAACCTGGGCCCTAAGGTCTGGGTTTCTTCACGTTGAGAAGAGCCATGCTGTAGGCTGAAGTATTTCTATACACATTCCCACAGAATTCTTCAATCTGCTTTTAAAAAAGGTAAAATACAAAATGACTGAGCCTTCCTTTTTTTTTTTCTTTTTTTTAAAGACTGTTTTTGAGTTCTCTACGTAGCTGTGCAACATCTTAAAAACGTGTAATTTTTTCCTTGCAGTTTGGATGTCTGCCATTGTGGTGGTGCTTTTCCATTCAGTGGAGTCTTTGCTTCGTACAGATTGAATGCTTGTTGAGATTTTGAAATCAATCTGATAAATATGTTACTCACATCTTGTTTGCTTTGTCTAGATCTTTTATGACCAAATTGCTATTTCTGTGCTTTGAAATCTGTCCCTGAATGTTTTATTCCGTCCTGCAATTTTTACCCGATGACCGGAATGCATCACTTAAACATTAACAGAAAAGGCATGACTTGTAATTAACTGGAAAATAATTTTTTCAGCCTCTCCCTGTATAAACGATAGTGCCTAGAAATGCAAGCAGAAGTCACTTGGGTCGCCTCTGGCCATTCTTGTTTTGAGCAATCAGTTCTGACTGAAAAGCGTACAAAGTGATTTAAGAAGTTTAAGAAGCATGTATGCCATTTCAGATCCATTGCCTTTGTGTTCAGTATACAGCAGTTTCCTCTAAGCAAGCTGCGGGCTGCATTTATTGTCAGAATAACCATGAAGGTCTGACATTTTAAACAAAACCATTGTGAAACGTTATCTGGAGTCAGGCCACAACTCGGTGCTTTGTAGGGAGCTCTTGGTCTTACCAAATAACCTGCCTTTCTTCTGGGGCGATTTTAGAAGGCAGTGGTTTTGAGGTCGTTGGAAGATTTTAGTCATTCTGTCCATAGCTACAGTAGTCTTCCTGTAAAAATAGAGAATAAAACAAAAATGGTGGCTTTGTGGGATTTTTCTTTGTTTCTGTTGTTGTTTTTACTGCCGTGAGCAATGAAGAGTATTCTCTTAACAAGAGCGCATACTTTTGAGTGAACAAAATGTGCCATAAGTAGACAGCAGACTTTTTTTTTCCCGTTGAAATGCTTTCTGAGCTGCAGCTGTTGTAACATCAGCTGTAAAAAGTTCTGGTTTCTTCTGCTGTTCTAACAATCTTTGGCTGCAGTACCGAAATCACAGATCTATTTGGTGTATTATTTATTCGGTGTCCTTGGCAGGTAGTTGAGGGGTGGGTTTTTTTGTTTGTTTGTTTTTATAGCTGAGCATAATGTGGAAGAAAATAAACATGCAGCTCTTGGTTATTCACAAGAAGAGACTAAATACGATTCTTCCATGATGTATGAGATTGGAATCTTGAGTGGGAACGCAACAGAAGCCCAGGAGCCGTTGAGTATGGATAGAAGTCTGACTACCTTCTGTGTTTTTATTTTTTGCAGAGTGCACAACTGAGTGAAATCATCAGTAGCCTCATTGCTCCGCTCAACCTGTCTCCAGCTTCTTCTCTCTCATCCAAAACTTGCAGGCACAGACAGCTGGTCAATGGCATCTCCTTCAGGTAGGTGACAGTACGGTGTTATTTTCTTTGGGAATAACTATTGGAAAAGTTACATAAATTCAACAAATAATCCTTATGGTATTAGGTTAGAAAGAAAGAACTGCTCTTTGTAAGCTTCAAGAGTGACAAAGT